CCCCCGCCCGGGAAAGCCTGGCTGCGTCAGCCGGCCCCGGCTCCGGCTGGCGGTGCTGGATCTGTAGAGCTCCCAGATGGCACCTCGGGGATGGATCTGGACCAGGGGCAGGATCCAGGTCCAAACCCCATATGTGCTGCACAGGGACCCAGAGCCCGGGAGCAGCCCCATCCCTGGGCAGCCCTAATCCAGAGCAGCGGGACAGGCTTTAGCCCAGAGCTCCCATCCCCTCCCAGGCCCGTGGTCTTGGCCGGGGCTGTGCAGACAGAGGGGCACCCACGGGGGCAGCTTGCCGCTCTGTGAGGGTGCAGGGATGGGGACATGGTGGCAGGGCTCATCTTCACCCCTGCTGCAGCTCCCTAGGCCCCTGGCATCGGTGTGGCCACAAGATGGCATGGCAAAGCCGCCTGGGTGCCACCCCACTCCCGGCACCCCCTGAGTCTTGCCCACCACCCCACAGCCTCAGTGACCTGGTGGAACATGGTGGGAGGGAAGGGGTGACATGTCCCACTGTCACCTGGGGGTTTCTAACCCCCCACCTCTCCCAAAGCCCAAAGAGGTGCCGGGAATCGCCCTCCTCGGCTGCAGTTACCCCCCACAAAGCTGCTCTGTGGGGCTCAGAGGGCATCGTGACCCTGAACAGGGCCAGGAGCTGATGTGTTGCTCTCATGGCCTGTCCATGATCCCCCCCAAAAGCTTTCGTCCCTCCACTTTGCTCCCGGGAACAAACCCAGCCCATGGTGGGCAGGGACCCAGCATCCTCCCCAACAATTCCTGGGGCTGCATTTCATCTTGGGGCATCCATGGGGGACAGGAGAGGGAGTCCCCGCGGTCCTGCTACGCGGCCCCCCCCCAGAGCGAGGGGGACTGGAGGCAGACTGTGGGGAGCACAGCATCTCCCCTGGGGACCAGTCTTTTAGAAGGGAATAGATTAAGGTCCATCAGGGATGGCTGGGTCCTGCCCCAAGGCGGGAGGGGTAATTAAACACCTTTTTAAGCTTTCTTCCGTTTTATTTGGCTTGTTGACCCCCAGGGAAGGCCCAGACCTCTCCGGAGAGCTGGAAGCACAAAGGAAATTATTTTATAGCCCCGGTGGGGAATCAGCTCATGCTCCTCAACAGCAGCCGGAAAAATTATTTTACAAGGTGAGAAGTGAAGGGCTTGTGGTTAACTGAGTGTCTTGTTGGTTCTGCCCCAGTAATTGGCACGTAGAAGTGTTCTTTTCCAACAGACGGGGGTAGAAGCGCACACTCGAGTCGTGTCTCTCATCACATCGCCCCTCATCCCCCTCTCCGTGCGCTCCCCCCCACGCAAAGCTGACCTTTACATTTTCTGCCTCATTTTATCACTTACCTCCATCAAGAACGGCAATCTGCCTCGG